GATCAATTGAAGTCAATATAAAAGCAAAACTAATCCACGATATCAGGTTATAATTCCAATAAAGTTTCGCTATAAGATGTGTAGCACAACGAAACAGTATTATTTCCTGGATAAAACACGAAAGATATATTGATTGATCACTGATAAGTAACCAATTTCATATTATTGGGTCCTGAAGGCTAAATTAATTTTATGGATCATTCTGCAATGTTGCACGATTCACCATCAAGAAGTACTTTGACAGATATTAGTTGGTTGAAGGTAATCGATCGGAAGCCCTTGAAATCGTGGAGAATATTTGTAGCTCAGGTGGATGGCCTTTGTTGCATTGTGTTCTCTAAGACAGGTTGTTTAATTGTGGAGCTTTCATCATCTTCCTAGATGACATGCACAAAGAAGACTACATCAAGAAGGTATAGGATTTACCCAAAGACAAAAATGTTTATCAAACACTTGAAGCCAACTCTATTCAAAAGTTTGACAACTAGATCAATGAAACCTTGAACAAACTCTTCAAAGCAGAAGAAACAACAGAGCGAGACGAATGGAGAATGAAAGCAAATGAACCTGTTCTTCCTCAGTTCTACGACAGAATAAAGCTGCGCAAACCAGACACCCCCTAAGACCAATAGACTCAATTCCGGGAACTCCAACTTACAACATACCAACAGAAATTTTTAGGAACTGGAAAGCCTAATTCAATCAGGTTGGCATTCCATCAAATCAACCACAGAACACTTGGAAAAGTTTAGGAGCAGTAATATAGTAAGTGACGAATTAATGGTATACTTCGACGTAACAGCATTATACACATCCATCGAATCCTAATCGGCCAAGGAAACTATGTCTCTCCTGTTCAATGAAGATGCAAAGCTTTCAGAACGCATAAAACTCAAGTGTTCAAGTCTGATGGAACTCATCGACGTTCGCCTGACAACTTACATTTCAACGCCAAGATATACAAACAAATCAAAGGAACTTTAATTGGTGCACCGATATATGGACTAAATGAAGGAGCAGCGATGCACAAACTGCGAGTCATCATCCTACCAGTGGTCAAACGAAAAATTTGGATTCTCTACGTAGACGATACTTTTGTCATCATTAAAAAAGATATAAAAAACACACATAGTTTGATCGATAACGTTTTCAATAACATCAAATTCAAAATGGAGAGTAAGTCAAACAACCAACTACCGTTCTAGGATTCTTTTAATCAGTTGGAAAAATGCCTTAAAACTGGAAATCGAAGTGTACAGGAAGTCAACACAAGTTGATCGAATCCTCAGCAACCCAACAACACAAAATAAGTTGCTTGCAGACTCCATTCAAAAGAGCGAGAACACACTGCAGTACAGCAACTTCACAGAGGAGAGAAAAAAACTGCTTGATTGAATTTTGAGGGAGTTGTGGGGACTTGAAAATATTTCAAGTTGTGAAGGGGTCATGGGTGCGCACTGCTGAGGAGTTCCATACTGGGACGAAACAGCTGTCAGGTGCTCTTAGGTCTCCTTATTTCCTCCAACTGATGTCAGTCTACGATAACAACCAGACATTACTTGATGTCTGTCCTAAGGAAGAACGGCAACCAACGAAACTTTATCAGAAGATGTCTATCAAGTAAATCATCAGCTACAAAGTCATCGACAAAAATCACAACAAGATTACTGAGATTACTTGGAATTGATTTGGCCTATAAACCAATAAATTCTCTCTAAACACTACTGTGCAGCCCAAAAGATGCAACAGCCAAGGAAGACAAACCGAATATCATTTTTAAGGTCAACTGCAATAATTGTGGTCAACACCACATTGGACAGTGGTCGTCCTCTTCTCCTTCGTCTACATGAACTTCAGTTGGCTATTCGATGTCATAACATTGTATCAATAATTTCAATACATGTGAATATTTATGGACGTGAGTTTAATTTTAATAATGCAGATGTTTTGGACAAAGGGAATATAAAGAATATCAGAGAATTTCTAAAAGCTTGGCATTCACGTCAGTCAGTCAGCAATCGATAAATGTATAAACATAGACCCAATCTATCAACCAATAAGAAAAGTGATAAACGGCAGGAATGTCAGAAGTCAAGTAGAGGAACTATCAACAGAATAGTCTATACAGTCAATGACACAATCGAAGAAAACAACCAATCACAGACCGCATCATCAGAGCAAGCCACTAAATCACTCACGGAGATATACTAATAGCTCACTTCATACTGAAGTTATTGCTGTTGATGCCGTCTAGAAAGACGATGAATGCTTCACGGTTAAACAACTCAACTCAGAGAACACAATGCAGCCAAGCAGGAGACATCGTTTGACTAGTTTTGGTCACTTTCTATCAAAAGACGTATTTGCACACCGAAGCAAGTAGTGTCCCCCTCTAAGGTTCTGACTCTAGTCACAGAAAACATCATTCTCCTCTCGTCCCCCTGAGGTTACAGATAGCAAGGATGTAACCTAGGTCCGTGCCATTCTACCAATCGCTTGCAACTAAGTGATAATGAAAACACTGAAATCATTTTAATGATAACAATATCAGAAAACACTTCAAGAAAGCGTTTCCGCTAATGATATTGTCCAGAATAACGATGAAAACTGAATTAAACCATCCGGCTTGCAAACACACAACATCATCAAGATCATCCTCCTGAGCCACAAAATATTCTGCAACATTAAAGTCACTTCTGAGACCACAGAATACCTTAGATGATAACAATTGTGGCTGTTAATCTGTTCAGATGTTTTGATTCTTTTCTTAGTCGACTGAATAATTCTAAATTCGCTTGAAAAACAAATTAGTTACTAAAGGTTGGACTGAAATCTAGTAACCAGCATTCCCTTACTTCTGTCCATTTCATCAAGAACTAACGAAGTTGGTGAAGAAATTAGTCACTTTCGTATGACTTATCTAGCAGATGTGTATTGGCTACGAAATCTCAGGTCAAAACCGGTTACTGACAAAAGTTGAGGAACTGAATAACATTTTGGTTAATTTATAATTCTGGTTACCAATGTGAAATAGTTATTGTAGCATCTGTCAGCCACTAATCCAAAAATATGTGAGTTAGTGAATTATTAGTACTTTAAGATAAACTTCTGAACATACTTGATCTGAACAAGCTCCAGCTTGAGTAACAGGTTACAGGAGTGACAGAATACTGTATCAAAAAACCTGACAGTAAAACATTTCATATTTTCAGGTTCCAAGGGATATAAAACCCTTATGAATCTTTATGCTTTAGCTAGTGAATATATTCTTATCATATGTTGGAAACACAAAAAATTCTTGTCATACACCTCTCTGACTTTAGAACATTATCTAATTAGTTTCTGAGGTGAGGTCAACAGAAACAGTTAGTTACCCAAAGATAAACGGGATGTTATCAAATATATGTGTAGGGGACATCCAGTGAGACTAATGACCAGGTAGAGAGCATAGACTATGTCTTAAACAAATCCTAGACCCTTAATCAGATGATAAGAAGCTAAAAAACAAATCGATAATTTCATTACACTTGACTGAAATAAAATATGAAGTAGATTCTGATGGGACGCAGGTCATATAAAAAATTATTGACTGTCGAGGAACTATATATATGAGTAGATTGTAAGAGTTTGAATTGAAGTGCTGAGGTGCAGTTGGGTGCCACCTGACATTGATAACTAACGAGTAGGAAGGACTGGGCCAAGGCTTGATCCCTCAAGGCTTCCTGAGTGTGCACCGCTAGCTACCCCGCATACGAACCAAACAGTTGTCCAGTGTTCCTAGGTTTTAATGGTACACCAAATAATTTCCATTTTAAATGAAGATATGATTATGAAATGACTATAATGTTACCCGTGACCTTTCTTGGTTCATATTCTAAATACAACTGGATATGAATAACAGCATACCTCACTTGATAAATACAACTTCACATTGAACATAAATGAACAATGAACAAACATTATCCACAAAAATAGATATCGAGAAGGCGACTAAATACACATTTTATGATGTCAACTAAATGACCTTGACATCTCAATTTTGATTGTTTCTGAAAAGAAACATTCAGATCAAAGATTTCAGCATGTGACACTATTACTGTTTATTGCAAACACGGTAAGATATATACCAAAGCAACAAATATCAAATGTCAACTTCTAGCTCGGTACCCAATATTTCAGTGATACTATCTGATTGAATGTGAACTATAATTCATATTATTAATCTGATCCAAAATTTTGCCTTCATAATTATGTAATAAAAAGAGCTTATTTCAATGAGTTGCCAGATTCTATCTTGAGGTTTGTGGGAATTTAATATTTTTTGTTTAAGATTGGAATCCATCATGGACTTACATCAGTTAGAGGAACACTGAAAACTTGGCGGGGTCATGGGTGCACACTGGTGAGAGTCCCACAAAAGTATGAAACAGCTGCCAAGTGCTCTCAGGTATCCAATGTTCCTCTAACTGATGTCAGTCCATTGTAAATCTCCACAAACCTCCGGATTGAATACGTCTTATGCTAATTGGTGATCAGCTTCGAGAGGTGATTCCTGAAGTCCTAATGAGAAGTCGTTTCCATTGACGTCAACAAAGTCGAACATGAGGATAGTTACTCAACGACGATACTGAATGTAGGTAGCAGTATATCGTGAACTGACAGCTGTAGGAAATATGGACCATTGGATCCCAACCCAATAGCTCAACGGTAACGTGCTGGTCACGCAAACTGAAGGTCCTGGGTTCGATCCCTGGTGGTGTGGTGGGTGCACCCTGCCTACGAGTCCCATTCTAGGACAAAACAGCTGTCCAGTGCTCCAAGGTTTCAACGTACTTCCAACTGATCTCAGTCCATGATGAATTCCAACTTGAAATTAATTACCAAGTCTTTTTCACTTTAATGTGGAAAATCCATATAACACTTACGAGAAGTTTTCAATTCAATTATTTCAATAGGCTATAAAACAATAATGAAACGAAATTCATCATTAAAAAACTTACGTTTCGATGACAATTTGAAATGTTATTAACGCTTTAGCGTTTACTGTAAGAAACTGCAATGTTTATTCCAAAAGAGAAGAAAATATCACACGAAAAGATGAAACAGAAATCTATACTTCCTTGATTTCAATACCTAACTTGTTATACACATCTAACTATTTGTACAATGTATAAAGCATGTGCATAAGAAAGCATCCTTTCAATTGCTCAGTTTATTATTACTAATAACAATGACACTGATGTGAATAATTGTAACAAATTTGAGAATGGTGAAGAGAAGAGGAGAATAGATGATAAATGTATTGTGATGTAAAATCTATATATGCATTTGTCAGTGATAAATCTTTTGTCTCTCTGTTCCCCTTGTCGTTTCCTCATATTATTTGTAATGTATTACTTTTTCTAACTGATTATATTTTTCCATTTAGGTGATGTAACTTACAACTTTGTTTTTAGTGAATGCAAACACTCGATAAAAATTCAGTATTATGGGTTTTCTGTGTAGATAACTTAGAAAGGCATTGACGATTTATCCACTACTTGTATATGAGATTCCATTGTTTAGTTAACTACCCTCTTCTTTTTCTTTCAATGCAACAACTTCATCCCATGGTTCTGTCCTTTTCCTGTCTTTGTTATATCGACGGACTGTTCTTCTAACACACTATCTTCGTGACAGTGATGATGCGGTGGATAAAAATACTAGTTGATATTATTCTTTTAAAATTAAAATGTTACTTTTTAGATTTCAAATTTTGGCGGTAATATAAATGTATGTATACATATAATTCATTCAAACTGGTGAAATGTAACAACATATACGGGATTTCATTGAAGTCTAAACACACAGTATCTTTATTTCTCAATATTCAATAAGTAGGTGGAAAATAATAAAGTTTATGAGCAAAAGTTGGCAAATAGTATGACTATATATATATACATATATATATATATATATATATATATATATATATATATATATATATATACATTTATGCATAGAAATGTAAATGTTAAGCTATCGATTGACTTGTGGAAAGAAGAAATCCACTTTTCAATTGGACCAATTGAAATTTAGCCTTTCTATATGTGTCTATAAATGAAGAATGAGTTTTGAAGAGAACATGTATGATTCACGATCAGAAATAAAATAATCTGTAGGCGGGGAAATTTAGTAACTAAACAATGGAGTCACTTGAACTAGAAGACTAATATATTATTACTTTATTATTCATCACCGAAGTCAGTTAATAATTGAAATGATGAAGGAGAAGTCATGACTTTAAAGCAAACAAGGTCTAAAAAAAATAAAACCTGCCACCGATCTCTAGGGTTTTATGAAATTTTAATACTCTTTAATGAGGAACACATTGAAAGAATGATTTTGAGCATTTAAGGGATATCGCTGTGCACATTCCATATATTCCCCACACTTTCATCAAGGAACAAACATTAAATAAATGTCAATAAAATATGATTGTGTTTGAAACTAAAAAACAGAAAATCTTTGTGCTAATGTGAAACAACATAGATACCATGAAAGATGATAACTTTGGTAGATTATTGTTATGATACTTGTAATTCCCCGTTGCTATATAGGGCCGAACTGATTGACTTCTATAGGCAAATGGGCTCATCATCTAAATGTTCCTGCACTTCATAAGTGGTGTTGTTCCTACTGAGGCTCGAATCAAGCATTCATCGCTTCAAATGCCACTGAGTTATTCATTAAGCCACTAGAACAGGATATCCACATCTTGTGCAACGGGTATTAGTTGTTGTTACGATACTTGAATAGAAAGGGGGAATTAAAAGTATCATAACAACAATTGATTCCCGTTGCACATAAGGTGGCTATCGTATCTCAGTGGTTGTTTTGAGCCATATCGGGAGATGCGGACTAGCTGGTTGGGCTCCGCGTGATAACAGAAACCAGTGGTTGGAGGGATGGATAAAGGGAATAATCAGCTGATTGGGAGTGTGATCAGCTGATTTCATTTGGTTGAAATACTGCATGTATTACTCATCTGATAGCATGAATGATACGTTAATGGACAAAAATATGCTGAGAAAGTGAAAATTTTATAATTTGGATGTAATAAACGGCTGTCTTCGCAAAAATGGTTGAGTTGTGTATTGTTCCGTTTCGGACTGTGAAATGTCCATAGAATATGTAAATTCGAAGGTAATGTGCTCATTAATGATTGATCAACATAAAATAAATGACTTGATTGATTGAAAACTTTATAGGTACTTCTCGATTCCATGCAACTCAAGTGACATGGAATATTATTGAGAATTAAGTTGTTTTTAGTAAGTTTATTTGTTCAGATTTCTTATTTGTCATTCTTCATGTGCTAATAAATATTTTCTGTATAACTAGTGGTAAATGGAGCAATAAGTAGGGGTAAAGTCACTTATAGACTGAAATAATTCCATGTTCATACAGGCAGACAAGAGGGTGTATGTTACTGTCTCAGAATAGAATTAATTTTTGAAATGTCTGTTACTTATTACTAAAGCACTTTATACTTTGATTTCAGGTGGACGAACAGTGCACAGTCGATGCGTTGAAGAATAGAGATATTGAATGACCATTGCAAACGTTGCAATATCTATTTACGGTTATACATCAAAATAAATAATTTCCTACATGTTTCCGTTTATCTTGTTCAATAGTCTTACAAGGGCGATTCTAATTTACATGAATAGCATGAAAACACGATTGTGAATTATTAGTACTCATGATCTCAAACGGTAACCTATATGCACATCTCTTGTATAAGAGACATCTTGGGGAAAAACTCATCCATATGTTTCGCTTACTATGCTAGTGACAAGTTGAAATCTCCACTACTGCATCTATTCATTTCTTTGTTAATGTCCTCCTATAGATTGACTTCGAAATCACGGAAGGAAGACAAATTGATTTGCAAATTAGGATGCCTCGTTTCCCTAGTTCGTTATTTCTGTAGGTCATCTGTGCATGATGAATGTCATCATAGTGACTGAATTCCATGCAATAGATGTGAGCACATTCCACATATTCTCTATGACATTGGATCTTTCCTGTTCTCAGAAACCGAATGTTATGTAGTTTCATAAACCCAAAAACTGGTTAACAAACAACTGAAGCAAAGAAATTCTTCAAGTCATCTTAACAATTTATATCGTGGAATCAGTGCATATGAATTTCAGAAAATCATGATAAATATCAGTTTGCTGATGCACGCTGAAATATGTAACGTCCATCCGTCTCAAGAAAGAACTTGGTAGGCTACTTCCTTTTGACTAGATGTGCACACTTATGTGACCGATTATAATTTCACATTGAATTCGTTTTGATCTCTGTAACTAACTGCAGCAGCATGAAGTGTGTATGCTTCTTAAAATCACACAACTATACGATGTTTATGGTTTGTGATCACTACAATACCTAGCAGTTACGTTATTCAGATCAATTAACGCCACTATTCAGCCTTTTCAGCTTTCAACTTCCTAAGGCACCATAAAATGCAAGGAAACTATAGTGAAACAGTCGCTCAATTCCAGCAGAATAAAATACAAATAAATTTATGCTATTATCGCTTTTTTCGAAACGTCCTCAAAAAGAAAGCATGTTTCTCCATTAATAGTGACTTTGGAGGGTGTCAGTATCTTGCTTGAGTTATATACCCTCTATCCATTGCTATAGGAGATATTGCTGAGAATTAATGTCATTGAGGTAGATCTGTCCAAATTACCTTCATCTTAAATGCTGTTCTGAATTCAACATTCTTCCATTCCTTCTTCCGTTCTTTACTATTTTGTATTGCTTATGACTTATTCACCTTTATTTCTTCATCTGTCATCTTACTGCTTTGTTACTTGATGTGCTGATATTATTTGTTGCAACTTGGACCACTATGCAATAATACCTGAGCCTATGGTGATTATTAGTAATTGACTAACTGATATCCAAGCAACCATTTAAAACATCATAACACTTGTCAAATATTCCAATTCTTCAGTCTTACAAATTAATTTTACCGGTCAGCTAATAAATAGCATGAATGTGTGCAAAAAGCTTATGGTCAGTACGGTAGTGAATTTCTCCTTCGTAATATATGCTTTCATATTCATCAACAACTGCTTACGCTCGCTACTGAAGATCAGATGGCCAGAAAGAATAAGCAACAAGGAGCACTGGGAACGAACCAACCAAGAACCTATCACCCAACAAATATGCAGGAGGAAGTGGAGATGGATTGGGCATACACTGAGAAGGCCGACTGAGGACATCACGCGTCAGGCCCTCTAGTGGAATCCCCATGGGAAGCGACGAGTTGGGCGTCCACGGAGAGGGTGACATGGAGGAGGTCGTGCGAGGAGGAAATGAGAGGTTGTGGGCTGTCGTGGAATCAGGTTCAAAAGATCTCAGAGAACAGAATTCACTGGAGACGTGCTACTGAAGCCCTATGTTCCACTAGGAACCCAAGGGACTAATAATAATAATAATAATGATAATAATATATGCTTTCGCAATAAGAATCTCTAAACTAAATATGTACTGAGCTAATGAGTGTTGCATTCTAAGCGACAATATAAAAATCAGGAAAAAATGTCTGAAACTCATTCATATTTAACATTCTATAGCATCTTTGCTATGACGTTTCTCTAAGCGAAAAGATTAATCCTCATTAATTCATAACTGTATGGTAGCCAAATCAACTGATTAGGCTTGAAATCTAACTGTTCTGAAATCCAGATAATAGTTTATACGATAACCAGCTGAATCTGATTAATTCTGTTCAGTGTAACAATGGGAAATTACAAGTATCAATAAATAATAACTAATACTCGTTGCACAAGAAGTGACTATGGTGCATCACTAGCCCACTGGATAAGACTTAGGCTTTAAAAACGATGAATCCAGGATTAGACTCTCATAGGAAACATTATCACTCGATGTGATTCAAGCACATCCATCTGACGGGACAAAACGTGCATCCTGATGCCTACTACTGGCGAACAATAAAAGTTATCTTTAATCCTGTAATCCCTTTGATAGATAAAGATGGGGATGTTCAGAAACAGTTTTACTGCATGACAGGCTGAGGTCACAGAATAACTCTGAACGAAAGTTAATTTTTTTGTCACAAATTCCAGTCTATTTTAGCTCGAGGTTGAAGATTTAACCTATACGCTGGAAAAGTCTTTTAGCGATTAAAAATATCTTCATACTGGCTTAGCATAAGTTCTTGCTTTTGAAGTTTTCTTCCCCAATCAGTGTCAACTAGGGAACGATTGAAAATCTGTGATCACTATGAAGGGGTACTGCTAAGGAATTAAACAGCTCCTCAGTAAGAGACATGAACTAATGAAATCCAGCCTTGTGGGTGAATGGCACAGGGATCTGTACAAAACTTGGTAAATTTAAGCTGAATCTCTTTTATGCAGATTCTTATTTCACTAGAGTGAACAAGTAATCATATAGTATATATATACCTTTTTCTTTAAAGAAAGCTGTTAGACCGCAGCTATGTGAACACGTATTTAGTTCCTGTAGTACGTTCTGATTGAATAAAGCCAATGGACTGACAACTGAAAAAATCAACGTTGAACCTCTCACACAAGTGCACTAGCTCAATTTGCAACACATCATAGTAGTACACAAAGAAAAAAATGGGTAGAGAAAAAGAGTGACATCAAAGAAGATGAAATTGCGTCAGAATAAACAATTTGAAGATAACGGTTAGTGAGAATACTGAAGCTTTAGAAGATGTCAAGGAGCGGATACATTTTCATCTATGTGATCAATTTAAAGCAGTGTCACCAATAATCCTCAACCGCTAATTCTTATCTTCTCGGGGACCGTAATCAGGCGATCTACATCTCCCCAAATTACCCACATCAACAGTCAGGGAGATCATCGACTAGTACTACGTATTCGTCTGCCCATCCT